GATAAGTTTAAATTTTTATTAGAAGAAAAATTATTTTTAGAGATAAAAAAAAAAGTAAGTAAAAAGAAAGTTTACGAAAATTTTGAATTTGAAACTTTTAATTTTTTACTGTTTATGATCTTTTTAAGGTTAAAAAATATTTAAAAATGTAAGTTTTTAAGAGAATAATTTAAACTTATGAAACATAAATAATTAAAAAAAATTTAAAAATATAAGTTTTTAAGAAAAAAATTTAAATGATAAAATATAAATAGTGCCAAAAAACTAAAACATTTTGAAAACTGCATTAAACGAACCCTAAGATATATGCTATTACTGTGGCTGGTGAAGGCAGTGGGCCGGACCATTAACTCCTCTCATGCATCTTGGATCCCTAAAACACAAGACACTATATAAAGTAAAAAAGTTGGATTATACGATTACCTAAAATTTTGTTTTCCATGCCCGCCCTCATGAGATCAATTCCATAATTGCCATATTGTGGTAGGAAGACTTTGGGTGGGGTGACAGAATAAAGGTAGCGTGTCATATCCTTGTGGCCCATAGCACATGCAGCAGTTACTGGGATAAAGCCTCGATCATTTTCAATTGTAAGTAATTTGCTCTTGCTGTTCTTTTCGACTATGCGTCTTGCCATGTCTGTTCTCTCCGTCGTTGCAACTAAGGTAAGAGCCGTGTGACCACCACTGTCACTCGCTGTCCTTTTTTCCAGATCTGTTTCCGGCATCATCATTATCAAATTCTTGGCAATCTCATATTTCCCTGCCAGTATTGCAACATGAAGAGCAGTGTAGCCTTCGTTTGATAATATTATTGTATCTAGTGGATGCTCGTCAGAAACAAAAAACTGCTCAACAGCATTCCAATCTCCGTTGCGAATGCTCTTTCTCAATTTCACAAGGCGAGGATCTTCAGTCATCTCATCTTCTTCCCCTATGAATAATCAAGATACTAACTAAAATTATAAGTATTTCATAGTAATTTAGTTTAATTGAAACTCTGTTTAGATCAATAAAAATTATCTTTACTCAATTCCTCACAATGAGTTATTTCAATTATCTTATTTTCTTTTCTTGTCAATAATTAAGATATTATAATCAAATTATATTTTAATCAAAGTATAATTAATTTAGTTAAAAATCTCTTTAAATCAATCTTACCATCCGATCCACCCAAGCTAGTTTCTGGTTTTGATGTAGATTGCCCCTCTTGATGCATTTTGGCTAATTTATTCCAAACAACTTTAGCCGAACTGATTTCTTTATTTGAACAAAAATTTCTACCGACGTAGTATGAATTACATGTAGAGCTGCACCATTCTTTTTCCTCCAATTTCCTACGTCGTCTGAAGAAGAAACAAAATCAAATATTTTTCCCAGATACAAGGATGCGCCGAAGATCTTGGGCTAATAGATAGTCTTGAATGTAAATTCCCCAATCTTCATAATTACCTTGTTTAAGAAGAAAAAGGAACAATTGCAGTAGTACTTGAATCACTCTGTATTGCCATTACAAAATTGTCAAAGCATAAAAAGTATATATAATATTAATTATAACAGAAAAGCATATATAATTATAATTTCATATTCTACACCTTGCAGTAGCTACATATAAACAGAGACTTGATCAGGCAAGCAATCTTCTTTAGAATGGTACACACTTCAGTAAGATAGAGAGCATGAACACCAAATGTAAATTTTGAGGCTGTCATAAGGCCATAGCAAATAATCAAAGAATTAACTTTCTTATAATATACTTACTTTTTTTTTTTGAACGGCAATAATATGTTTGATTATATATTAATAAGCAGAGTACAAGGGGTACCCCAACCCATAACAATACTGTTAGAAAAGTCTAATATACCCTGAGTCAAATAGCAAAGTGTCGACCCCTACTAAAAGTGTCGACACTATACTCGTGACGAACTTCAGAGTACCGTTGCTTAATCTTCACATCTCCCTGTACAGATCATCAAAACTACCCAATATTGAATTCCACTGGCAATCACA